TTTAGTAAAAACAGTTCAACATATATTTGTTTAGCATCTGTTGATGTCTACATCTTGGAGTACAGAGAGGAGCAAGGCAAAGTCCTTGTCCTAGGTTTTGTGGGTGCAAATTCTGGTGAGGAGCCAGACTTAACCAAATTACCAAATCATATGATTTTAGGGAAGGATGGGTACTTTGAGGAAGAGTAAAGCAGGACAAGTGAACATAGAGGGACACAGGGAAGGCCTCTGTGGAGAGGTCATATGTGAGCAGAGGTCTGAATGAGGTGAAGGAGAGATCACAGGAGATACTGAGATCATTTGCCAAGAACAATTTATGTGGAGGCTGGAAACAAAGTCAGAGTACAGCAAATTCAGGACTAAATGGGAAGTGAGCACTGCTTTTTAAAGACACTTGCCTGAGGAGGAAAGGAGAGGAAATAGACAGCAGGCAGAGGACGACTTAGAGAAGATTTAACTTTGTTTTGTTTTATAAATAAAATTAGAGAGTTGAATACCTTAAAATGCTTGGGGGAAAAGTCTAGCAGAGAGGGAGGGATTCATGGCACATAGTTAATGGAAAATGCTAACAATTTTGTTGGTGGTGAGTGGGAAGCTCAAACTCCAGCTTTATTTTTCTCCCTGAAGATAAAGAGAAAATAAGGATAAAATATCAGATGACTTGGGGAGTCACCTTAGGAAGCAAAAGAATGATTCATATGCGTTGTAAGCTTAATATCAACCTTTCTTCTTAATTGCATTGATTCCCTTAAGTCTTTCAGACCTTTCTACAATGGTTTTTCTAATCCTGCCTCAGTAGTCAAAGGTTGCTTTTTAAAAAAAAAAATTCTATGATCATCATGTTGGATCCATACAAAGCAACATGTGCTACTGCAGTTTAAAATGTTGTTAAAATTAACATTTTTCAGAGAATCGTGTTTTCGTAGAATTTATAAAAGATTAAGAAAATAGGAAACCATAAATAGTTTCTAACCTTAGTATGAAGTTAAGTATGTTTTTACTTTATAATGGAGTCTCATAAAATTAATCTTCTCAGACATTTGTAGACAACTTTTTGAAACTTTAATACCTTGATGTCCCTTCTTTTTCTTGTTCCTCCCTCTTGATTTTTGATCTCAAGATTCTTGTCATAATCAAGTTCCCATTCTATTCAAAATAGTCTTATCTCTCTCTTTTTTTTTTTTTTTTTTTTTGAGACGGAGTCTTGCTCTGTCGCCCAGGCTGGGGTGCGGTGGCCGGATCTCAGCTCACTGCAAGCTCCGCCTCCCGGGTTTACGCCATTCTCCTGCCTCAGCCTCCTGAGTAGCTGGGACTACAGGCGCCCGCCACCTCGCCTGGCTAGTTTTTTGCATTTTTTAGTAGAGACGGGGTTTCACCGTGTTAGCCAGGATGGTCTCGATCTCCTGACCTCGTGATCCGCCTGTCTCGGCCTCCCAAAGGGCTGGGATTACAGGCTTGAGCCACCGCGCCCGGCCATAGTCTTGTCTCTTTACATTTCCCACAACGGCCATGCTTTTATCGTAATCTCTAATAAGAAGATCCTCTCCACATTTTTATTCTTATTTCTGTTTAATCTTCAAAACCCGTTTTGGGTTTTCTTACTCTACATGCTCCACTAACATTTTGGGTAGACAATTTTTCTCTCCTTCTTAGTATCGTATATCTCTTATTATGTGTAATGAGTATTTTGGCATTTAACTATATTCTGTATTATTGTATGTGTAAATTTGGATTTCCCTGTAAGACATTTGTTTAAATGAGTTTGAGTTGTGTTTTATCACTTGAACCTAAAACTATTGTGTTTTATTACTTGGACCTAAAACAAATGAATAATAATGGACTTAAAAAATCTTCATGGTGTGTATTACAATTGTACTCCTTTTTAAAATTAATTGTACCTAGTCAAAATGTAAGAATATTCATCAATTTCCATTTTCAGAACAGCACCCAATCAGTAATCATTTGTTCATCCAAAAGATATTTGCTGAATAACCACTAGGTGCCAGAATGAAAATCAAATTGATACAAAGTTGACTAATTCCTTTTCTCCACAGATCTTACAGTGTATCATATGACAGATATTAAACTAATGAATAAACAAATATATACGTTTGTATATATGTATATATAATTTTACACATATGTATATATAATTTCAAATTTTCATATTGTCACGCATTAAATGTCATGAATAAAAGACTAGTATGACATAGGGTGCCATAAGAGAGATTAACATAGGCTGTTTTTTTATGAAGAGCAGGTTTGAAGAATATTTAAACCTTATCTAGTGGACTTGATAGATGATTTTCATGTGCAAATGACATGTGAACTTTGGGAGTGTTTCATGGGCAAGGTGTGCAAACGAAGATCTCCCAATTAGCCTTAACAATAAAGTCAGATTAAGCTCCTATTGTTCTGTGGGATTCAGTTGTCAAAACCTAAAAATAATAAGACACTGACTCTTGTATGAACGATAGATTTGTGTGTTTCATGAAATATGAGACAAAAATAGTTATTTTGTGTTTTATGCCAAGCTTCTTTATCTCTTTGCTTACTTTCAGGACACTGTACTTATGTTTTTATCCAAGAAATAGACACATAACCTGTAAAACAAGTTAACAAATAATCAAATATGATCAAAGCAAAAACACCTATAGACAGCATTTTGATGACTAAATAAATTTGAACCACTGCATAATTAAGAAAGTGTGTTGGAACTAACACTTAGATTAAGAAATGAGAAGACGAGGTGCCAACATCCTCTCTGCCCATAACTCACTTCACTTATCTGGGCTTCAGCATCTCATCTGTAAAGTTAACTTTTTCTTTCTAGATTCTCTTAAATATTCTTCATAGCATTTAATTCACAAAACACTCATGTTAAGAAAGAGATGTTCTCTTAACATTGAGTGAGTATTTGGTCTTTTGGCAAAGGACAATGGTAACTTTGCAATGTAAATGAGTCAAAGCGATTTAAGAGTAAACAAATCCGTGTAGTTCTGCAGTACCAAGAAATTTCCATTTTAGGACCTTTGAAACAAAGAGCTTTCCTCATCTAAAGAGCCTTGAACTTGGCTGCAGTCTAGTGTTTACAAGGTCACTTGATCAGTCCGAAGCCACATGAAAACTCTGAAATTCTCATAGGTATTTAGTTTCTATCATTCAAATAGCACTTCCCTTGGGCTGTTTAGCATTATAGCTTTGGCTATTTGTTTTACTTTTTTTTGCTTGACAGTAAGTTCTCTTTGAATTCAAGAATATCTGCATTTGTATATATTGCTTTGTATTTTGTAGACTTTTGATAAGGATTTGTTGAATATATGTGGACCTTAAAGTGAGTTTCTTTGAAAGAAAATAAAGAGATAGAATTCAAAAGTGCTACATGGCAGAAGAGATGTTAATTTAAAAATAGTGAAAACACTCTAAATCTCAATATTATAGAGCGGTGGTAGAGCAAATTCCTTTAAAGCATCATTGCCACATTCCTTTCAATTGAATTCTTAAAACATTCAAACCTTACTGAAAAATCACATTTCTAAAAATACATACATTGTATTACTATATCATATATATATATATTTCCTACCCAAAGTGACAAAATAATATTGGGGGCATAACAATGATGACATGGAGGAATAAGAAGTTAGGTATCCTCTCTTAGGTATTCTTGTTATAAATATTTTTGATAACATTTTCCAGTTGTAAAGAGAGATTGATCCTCACCCCTACCCTTTCCCTGACTCCTCCATGAAATTTATTGGAAGGCTGCTGTACTCTTTTTTAAGAAATGTGCATTAAAATTTTTAAAAATCTCATTATTTCTTCTCATGGCAACCAAAAAAAAAAAATGTTGTGTCTCTGTAATTGTTAGAGCGCAATGTTTATTGGTGGGCACAATGAAAAGACTCTCTGGCCTTATTATGATAATTTGTCTTGACAAAGCAAACATTACATTCCCTTGGAAAGTGCCTATAAAGTCCTGTGCATGTTTGGTAAGCATTATCAAGTATTCCCTATGCTATTCTTTTGAATATGGATACCTTTATTTCTTTCGCAAGACAATAGTAATATCTGCTCTCACCCTCAAGTTCTGCCCCTTACTCCTCAGCTATGGCATCAAGGAAGGTGTTACAGGAAAGGGGTCCTGATCCAGATCCCAAGAGAGGGTTCTTGGATCTCATGCAAGAAAGAACTCAGGGAGAGTCCACAGTGCAAAACAAAAGCAAGTTTATTAAGAAAGTAAAATGGTGAAATAACAGTTACTCCATAGACAGAGTAGGGCATTCCCGAAAGTAAGAAGAGTAATGCATCCACCCTAGGTACAATGCTTGTATATAAGTAGGATAAAAAAAATATAATGGGTGACAGACTGGGAGCATCGCCATCTTGGACAAGCACTATCATTCTAAAGTTCACCTTGATAAAAAACTGCCTAAATCCAAAGGGCATCAGATTAATGGCTAAGGTCAGCATGACCATAAACCACAAATGACATCTCCGACCAGAAACATTCCAAACCCCTGCCCGACCAGAGACATGCCAGCCCCGAGATAACCTCCCCTCCAGCTGGAGAGATGTCAGCCCCAAGATAACCTCTCCTGTGACAAGAGACATTCCAACCCTGCCATAAACTTCTCCCCCACATAGAAATATTTCAAACTCTCTCACCAATACATACTCTTAGTCTGTAAGAGACAGCACTCCTAACCAAAATTGTCCAGAAGTCCCTCTCATATTTACTCTCCAAAATAAACCTGTCTTTGACTGTTGAGCTGCTTTTCGTGTTTCTTTCCTCTTTCTTTAACTCTTACAATGAGGAGATGTGCTCTGCTACAAGGGTTTGTGCTAAATGATTACTTTTCTTCATTACTATGTTTTGCAAGAATCAATATTATTATCTTTAAAGCAAAATTAGGAATGTCCTTGTTCTCAAGGTATCAGGATTTTGGAACACTCTAAAGTCTAGGTCTGTTTAGTAAACATTATCAACCTTCTCCCTTAACTGTAAACATTTAGAGGCTAGGAATGCTTTTCTGGGAATGCAGCCCAGCAAGTCCCAGCCTCATTTTCCTATCCTCACTCAAGATGGAGTTGCTCTGGTTTGAACACTGCTCTAGTTTGAAGGCCTCTGACAAAGGGAGTAGTGAGGTGGAAGTGAGAAGGCCATCGCAGCTCACACATGCTATTCATTCAAACAGGGAGCTTGCCCAGACTTCTTGCCTTTGCAGTCTCAGGTTTATTTGCTGTATACTACAGAGTGCATGTTCTGTGGCCTCTCAGTTGTCACATACCTTTAGAAAAAAAGTTTTCCTGCTTATCCTCTCTGTGAATATAAATGACTGAGGCAGACACACTGTTGCCAAGTGTAAGCGTCTTTTTTTAACATAAATTTTGTTTTACAAATGCAAGGGTAGACACTGGTCAGATTATGCAGTTTGCCTTTGGTGAGGTGAATGTTCAGGCTGTGACTCTAACCTGTTGTTGTTCTTGTTAGTGGCCTAAATTTAGAGTTATCTCTGTGAGGTTCTAAGACGTGTACTATCAAGATTCTCCCCAAGTCACAAGGCATGACTTGCTGTCAAAGTTGGCAGCAAGGATGTAGGGGCCAAAAAATAGGCTTTTATGTCACAGAAAAATGAGCTGAATTTCATGCTGCTATTTACTAACTAATTGTGTCATTTGAATAACTTGGATAATGTCTCAGTGTCTCAGTTTATTTTTAAACTAAGAATGCATCCACAAAAGTGTCATGAGAGTTAAATGAAATAATGAGTGTAAAATGTTTGACATAGTGCCTGGTACTCAGTGAGTATAAAATAAATAATAGTTATTATTAGGTGGCTGTTTTTCTTACTGGAGCTCAGAACATGTTACCCCAAAATATGGAACTGAGGCAATTGAGTAAACAGCAGAAGCAGTTACGCTGACCTTCTCCCACCTTTCTTCACTGAAGCATGGTCATCAAGAAATTCTGAAAGTAAGTTATAAGGTCCTCATTCTAGAGGAGTCCCACCCTATATCTGGAAGCCTAGAAGAGTCAGAACAAATAGGCCCTGCTAAGTTCCCCATAAGTCATTAACAATAGGTCATATCCCCTTTTTGTCCAGTTACTCTTCTACATGATTGTTCATTCTTCATCAAATGTCCGCATAAAAATATACAGTATTTTATGCATCTTTGGGTCTTCATCTCTGAGGGATCCTATGTCACATAAAAATATGGTTAAATATATTTATTATTGCTTTTCTCTTGTTAATTTGTCTTTTGTTATAGGGATATCAGCTATGATCCTTTCAATGGGTGAGAAAAATATATTACTTTTCTCCTGTAAATGTTTATGTAGGACATGTTCAGTGGCTAGTTGCAAAAATTATTCAGACCATCATGTAACCCTTCTCATTTTTCTCTTTATAAGTCCCCAAAATATGTAACCTACATATTTAGGACTGGCCTCATTTACTTTATGCATTTGAGAATCATCTATATGTATCTAGATTTTGTACATTGTTTCCCATTTCTCTTTGGGGTGCTAGTTGAATAGGCACTATAAAGAGTTTCCCAAAAGAATAGGTGAAAATAGACAGGCTAAAATTATTAATTTAGATTCTTTCGTGTGAAATTCTGAAACTGAACATTTGCAGAAATAAAATCTTATAATCAATTAGTAACATTTTGAATATTGTATCTTCTTTTTACCCCTTTGCTTCCTTCTTCCCTGAACACATTTAATAGCAGATGGCTTTAAGATGTTTTTAGGCTATTGAACAGACTGGACTGCATTCTGTTCTTGGAGGGCTGTTACCCACATGTAGGTGGTTCATGAAACAGAAGAGTAGAGTAATACATTGTGGTAAAACAATTTTATATCAAGGGAAAAAACATGTCTTAATTTATTTGCATTCATTAAATTAACATTCTTCTAAGTAGACACGTTTCAGTTGAAGGATTGGGCTATAGAGCTTGCAAATGTGTTTCTTCCTGTGCATGTCCAGGCTTCTGTAGAAATGCTTCCATTTTGACGAAATAAGAAAAGAAAGAATTAGCAGTACTTGCATTCCTCGCAAACATTTCATAGACACTATGGCATACCCTTCTAGGCAGAAAGCTTAAACATATTATATACATCAAACTGACTGGTTTCACTAGGTTAAGCGGAAAAAGCAATTATTTAAAAGTCACAATTCTACATAAAATATTGCTTCAAGAAGTTCTTTGGCTTTGAAGTGGAGTCTGGACTTTTGCATCTTTATGAGGTCATATTTTTTCAGACTGAATTTTAAAATACATTTAATATATGTATGTACACATGTCAAGGCAGAGGGACGTTTTGTATATGAATTTAATTAAGCAATAGGCCACTTTGGGACTTGTTTTATAGAGCCATTTGTTTCATGTGAGTTCAACTGCCCAAGCTACCGTGCAATAATTGTCTCATAAAATTATTCTCTGGAGGGCCTTATTTCTACCATAATGTGCTTTTACTTAAAATTTAGTTTAACAGCCACATTTTTCCTTGTATATCAAGGAAACTCTATACAAGTAATAGCTATTGGAAAATATAGTGGTTAAAGAGCTCTTGGTTTTCTCTATTTACTATTGGGAATTGTTCATTCAAAGAAGAAAAATGAGAAAAGAGGAGGAAAATATGTATATTACATTAGTAATAATCTTTAAATTTGGTATTTGTTTCTACTTACCATTCAAGATACTCTCACATAATCCCTTTTACGTATTTTTGCCCTCAGCATGTTCATCTCCTGCATGTACTTGATCCCAGCCTATGCTCCTTAGAAACAATGGATCATCTACAGCAATATTTGCTGATATGTGCCAGAAGATGGGCTCTTCACTGGGACCACAATAATTAATTGAGACCTAATTCCAGTTTTTTTAGTAAGCTTTTAATTTGGAAAGAAAACTGACTGTCAATAAAGGTTTGTAAAGTATGTGTAATTTACTGTAGTGTATGCTGGATATATATTTTCGAACTATGAAATTCAATAATTTATCTTTTTTCATGTTTCTACAATTAAACTTAGTCTCTATCTTGAGCAAGACTCCCTTGGATCCTGACAAGAGTGGCCCTTGGCACTTTAGAAGAATTTGAATGTAACCCTAGTACTTTAAAAGATCTTGAATATCTTAGACACACGTATGTACCAGTTTTAAAGACATATAGGTTTTCCTATAAAATAGAATATAGTACTCGACACTTGCACTCCTGTAATCTTAAACATCTATTCTCCTGACTAATAATGTACTCACCCAGGGTAATATTTTTCTTCACCTCTTGCGAAAGGCAACTGTGTCCAAATGCTGTGAAGGTTGTGGGCTATGCCACTGTGACACTGGAGATAAAAGAAGTGCATCAGAGTGAGAGGAGGATCAGAGCACGGAAAGGGATTGGTAAGAGAAAAGACAGATGAGTTGATCTGCCAAATGCTTCTTCTCAAATCGCACAAATACGAAAGATTCCTGCAAAATATAGTACCATTTCCTGGTAGTGCAGAGCATCTATTTTCTGTCACTTTTTATGTTCCAATTTGCATTTCCAAAGTACTCACAAAAAACAGGTATTCTCAATATGTGACAGAGCTTGATCTGTTTTACAACATTAAATGGTTCATGCTTTTCTTAAATTTGTATTTACCTAGGTTTCAAAGTACGCTTCATGTAGCATGACAGTGATGTTTTACTTTGGTAAATAGATATTAAGTGCAAAATTGAGATGAATTATATTTTTATACAAGTGTTTAGTAAGACTTTAATTTTTTAAATTAAAAATTTTACAGTATGTATTTTTTATTCCTAATTGTTTTTAATAGTTAATTTTGAATATTTAAAAAAATTTTTGGGTAACAAAGATAAAATATATGTATTTTTATACTTCAGTACACTCTGATTGAAAATACATTCAAATTTCATATACTTTGAATTCAATTACAGTTTGCTTTTTTTTAATCATTTAAATCACTGAGAATGAGTACAAGTTGGGATTGTGATGGAAATAGAAAATATAAAAATAGAGTTCAAGGCTGGGCATGGTGGCTCAAGTCTGTAATCCCAGCACTTTGGGAGGCTGAGACCGGCAGATCACAAGGTCAGGAGATCGAGACCATCCTGGCTAACACGGTGAAACCCCGTCTCTACTAAAAAAGTACAAAAAAACTAGTTGGGCGAGGTGGTGGGCGCCTGTAGCCCCAGCTACTCAGGAGGCTGAGGCAGGAGAATGGTGTAAACACGGGAGGTGGACTTTGCAGTGAGCTGAGATCTGGCCACTGCACTCCAGCCTGGGCGACAGAGCAAGACTCTGTCTCAAAAAAAAAAAAAAAAGAAAGAAAAGAAAAGAAAATAGAGTTCAAAAAAATTTGTAAGCAGAAATTTAAAAAAGTATTTTAAAACATCCTGAAAGAAGCGATTGGCTTAAAATTTTAAAATCTGGCAGCAATAAAAGTAAGCAGGTAATCAATCACCCATGATGATTCCTGTAAAATTAATTAACAGGTCAAAGAGACAATGGGATGGGAAGAAGTGATGCTAAGTGATGTTGAACAATTTACTTAAACTTGCTGTGACTCAGTTTTTTCATGTCTAAAATGAAGATAATACAAATGCCTATCTCATAGGGTTGTTGTAGGAATTAAGTGAGTTAACATATGTACAGTTATGACATGTAGTGAATATTCTAAAGTTTTAGCAACTATTAATATTTTGGGAAAAGTAGATATGCTGTGTAGAATAAAGGTAACAGAGGAGAAAAAACACAGATATGTAGGAGAGTTTCCATTTATTTTCTCTGTGTCTCTTATCTGGCATATTTTGGCTACACTTATGGGAAGGAGCTAATGGAATGGGAAATTTTGCCAAAACAGAAGAATTGAATAATGGTTGGAGCAAGAGCCTGGAGGAAGCAGGGAAAGAAGCACGTAAAGCATGTACGAAAGAAGTACCTTGCAAAGAGGAGTAGTCCCACTTTTCCTTACCTGAGGATCATGATGATGTAATAATCAGGAAGCAGATGAACTTACAGATGAACTACCTCACTCCCCTTTGTATTATGAGGCTGAAATTGAGTCAGGCACAGTCTAGCTTATGTCTTAATGAGAGGAGATAAGGAGAGAGGGAACTGGCCTGAGCTATCTAAAAGGATTCATGTGTGACGTCCAAGCCTTGCAGAACCATCAATTCATATAATTGTCATAGTTTACACAGCTGGGTCTTCAGAAGTCTGAGTGGAGAAGGAGATAATTCAACGTTTGGATTTTTTTAAGTGATCATGTTTTGGGAATTTGAACTAGAAACATAAATGTAAAAAAACAATTGAGGGTGCTGCAAGAGGGTCATTAAATAGGTACACATTTAAGTACGGAGATAGAGTTAGAAATAAGATAATAAACAGGTTTGTTTTTTTTTTTTTTTTTTTTCAAATGGAGTCTCACTCTGTTGCCCAGGCTGGAGTGCAATGGCATGATCTTGGCTCAGTGCAACCTCTTCCTCCCGAGTTCAAGTGGTTCTTCTGACTCAGTCTCCTGAATAGCTGGGACTACAGGCACATGCCACCATGCCCGGCTAATTTTTGTATTTTTAGTAGAGATGGGATTTCACCATGTTAGCGAGGCTGGTCTCGAATTCGTGACCTCAAGTGATCCACCCGCTGTGACCTCCCAAAATGCTGGGATTACAGGCATGAGCCACTGTGCCCGGCCAGTGAATAAGTTTTTTAAAAGGTCAAGGACCTTAAGATATTTTAAGGTCAAAGAACATGTGCAGTAGAAGTGAGGACCAGAGACAACTAGCCACACTGGGAATGTTGAGTCGATGATTTTAGAGATGGCAGCTGCAGTTATGTTACTGCAGCAATTCTTCCAGATGCTACTTTTCAGATTTCAGAGGAAATCTGTGCAATGATGTCACAGTTTCAGATAGAAACTCTGTCCCCGCCAAATGAAAAAAAGCAAAACTGGTAATTAGTTATTTGTTCATTATACCGATTAATGATAAAAATGAGCTTTTATACTAGGTCACTTCATCTGGTGTAGGTTTAAAGAAAACTGATATGGCAGGCATATGGCAATGCTGCTAGTTCATAGACTATGTCAGAGATACCAGAACAGAAGGCTCAAGTTAACTAACAAAAGGAATCTTCTTCACTTGGTTTCAATCACCCATCCAGAGGTTGGGTGAAATATTTTCCACCTGACCACATATCAACTCTCATTTGCAAATAAGCACTTTTATAAAAGAGGAATAATTGAATGTAGGGCTTGACATCGTGAACTCTTAAAATAGACTGCTTTGGTAACAGAATTATCTATGCCTCAGTTCATAAAATAAACATACTAGGACACACTTAATAGTATTGTAATGAGAATTAAATGAGTTAATATTTATAAATTCCTCAGCACAGTTTCAGTAACATGGTGAGACTCTATAAATAAAACTATCAGGCAAAAAAGTTTAATCATAATAGTTAAAAATTGTACAACAGGAAATATCAGTAGCAGAAATATTAGAGTAAATAAAGGCCCTACCTATAGTTCGCTAATCTCTCAAAGCCCATAATGACTCATTCGATGCTTAACAGCACCCAAGAATATGACTCAAAGTTTTATAAGGCTATCAGAGAATCGTTTTCTAAGCCTGGAAGCCTGAAGCCCAAAATGATGCCTTCTGCCTATGGATTTATCTTATTGTCCCACGCTGGCCATGGTCTGTTCAGTATTTGCTTGGCCAACAGTGTCTGATAGAATCTGTTCAGCTTGCTGGACATCACTGGGTTTTCTCTACTGACCCCTTGGTACACTGGCTTAAAAATTACTTTCTTGACCCATACCCCTCCAGCTATGCTGCATTTCTCTGCTCCCCTTCACGTCCAATTTTTTTGGAAGGCATTTTCTACAGAAGATATCATTGCTTCCTCATTGCCCAATTATTCATTAAGCCGTTGTAATTTTGCTTCCTCACCCATCACACCTCTTGTCATAGTCATCAACATTGTCATGCTGAATTTTTATCCTTTTCGTATGCAAGCTCTCTGCAGAACTGATGTAATATTGCTATTTCCTCTTTATCAAGAACGCTAGCTCCTCTTAATTTTCATCACACTCTTCTGGTTTTCATTCTTTCTCTTCAATCTGTTTTTCATTCTCCCTTCTTGGGTTCCTCCTCTGCCCAAACCCTAAATATCCATGAAGCTCACAGTTCTCTTCTTCTGCCTTTTTGCTATACGCATTCCTTCTAGGTAACTTATATTTCCATAGATTTAAACATCTTATAAATTTCAAATTTATATCTCCAGCTCACACTAATGTTTTGAGCCCTAGACAGTTTGCAGCTGACAGTTTGTGACTGTAGGATTAGACAGAAAATACTTGAGGTCAAAATATAAATATAAAATATGAAAAGTAAAGATGACCAAAATTAAAATCTAGAAGATAGGATAAGTTAAGTGAAGGGAAAGGTAGAGGAACAATTAGCCTTGGGGTATAGGAACAATTATTTATGTTATTTAACAGAAGTAATAAAGTTAGATTATTTTGGTTATAAACTATAAACAGAGGAATTAATAATATTAACATTTTGGGAAAAGTGGAGGGTGAGAGGTAATAGACATTGTTGTAAAGTTACCTCCTCATATAACTCAGTAGAAAGATAATGAATCAGGTCAAATTCATGAATCACAGGAGAACTAAAACCAATGACAATAAAAATGTACATTCTTAGCAGCAAAGCTAAACTTAGAGTGGGGAAGAGAAGAAAAGAACTAATCATTTTAATCATGAATCTTTTTGGATGATTTAATTTGTAACAATGTGTATGCATTAATTTAATAAAAATAAATTTTAGTTTTAAAAATAAAACCAGGCTGGGCATGGTGGTTCATGTCTGTAATACTGGCACTTTAGGGGGCCGAGGTGAGGAGATCACTTGAGGCCAGGAGTTTGAGACCAGTCTGTGCAACATGGCTAATATGGTATGGCTGTGTCCCCACCCAAATCTCATCTTGAATTGTGGTTCCCATAATCCCTACATGTCATGGGAGGGACCAGGTGGAGATAATTGAGTCATGGGGGCAGTTTCCCCCATCCTGTTTTTGTGATAGTGAGTTTTATAAGGGGCCCCCCTCTTCACTGGGCACTAATTTCTCTCTCTTGCCACTCTGTGAAGAGATGCCTTCCTCCATGATTGTTAAGTTTCCTGAAGACTCCCTAGCCATGCGGAAGGGTGAGTCAATTAACTTTTGTTAGTAAGTTATCCAGTCTCGGGTATTTCTTCATAGCAGCATGAGAACAGACTACTACAGTAAATTGTTAGTAGTACTGTGAGTGAGGCACTGCTGTAAAGATAC